TATTCCCGCGCTAAACATATCCTTTACCAGTAAATTCGATTCCCACGCTTCATCGTTCACTTCAGAATGCTTTGCCATAATAAGTCCCCTACAATTTGTTTTCTCAATAGAATCCTGTTCTTTCCTTATAGCTTCAGACTCACAATCTTACCTCTCTGCTATAACATCCAAGCTGTTCAATTCTCATTTATCCCCTCTCGTTCTCATCATACATTTTTTAATTTATCACTTTGGTCTAGATAGTAAAACAGTAAACTTCTTTTGGACGCCTAGCCGTGTCGGTGTCTCCGGTAACGAACGCGCTGACCACCTACCTTATTTCACCAAAGCCCACATTAATCTTTCCTCTTTTAAGTTACCTTCTTCCTATTTTCTTCCCATCCATCGTAAACTTCTTCGTAGGGTCTAGCAATCCAAATGGGACACTGTCCCACCAAATTTTGTTACTTGGCATCGGCAGATCATTTCCAAAATACCATCCAACCCATGGTACAAAGATCTGGACCTTCTTAGGCGCCTTATTTTGAACTATACCCGTCTTCGTATAGGACATAGTTTACTTCCCCACCACTCCTATAAACTCAACTTAAACTCCTCTCCCTCTTGTACTCTACACCAAGAACCCATCCTCTGCGATTTCGATCATATAATTTTCCACTGCCCTCCTCTCTTCTCTTGTAGACAGTCCCTTTTTTCATTCCTTTCAACATTAGGCTACATCACTCCCGACTCCAAACATCTCCTTAACTCTTGTTCCACACCCATAATTTTATCCACTATCAACTTCATCTATTATTCTGGCTTCTAAATTTAATTAAAAAAAAAATATATATATATATATATATATATATAATAAAATTGTAATCACATTGCTGTAATATTTTCAATAAAGGAAAATTAAACAAAAAAAAAATAAAAAAAAAATAGCCACCTTAAATTACTCCAGACGGTAATGATAGGGGTTTGGACTCAGCATTTGATATTTTTTCTTTTTGAGTACGTTTAGATAGATATGATGACAGCCAGAATAATATATTACCACTGATGTCCATATTTTTAGTTTATTATTTAAGATTACGTAGTCTACCTAATATATTGCTTTATTATACGTAATTAACGTAATTATAATTGGCTATTATATAGAATCTATTAAATATGAATAAAGAACAAATTGGCTTGTTTCTACAGATGTAGATTTTCTAAAACCATTTTGATTGTTGATAAAAATATGATTAAAATGGATTAATAATTTTTGTTTAACTAGTTTTTCAAGAAATATTGGTAATATTGTAATATTTTGATGAACATAGTTTAGTAACCGGTCGATTCTTGTAATCGAATCGAAATTTAATTGAATTTGGTCGAATCGCTGGAAACTTCAACTTTGGTTTCAAATTTTTTCCAAATTGGAGTGATAAAACTTTGTTTCTAATTTTTAGGAATATACCTGATTTAATAATAAAAACAATTTGTAAATAGGAATTGATAAAACGTAAAAAATTAAGAAAAGAGAGAGAATGTTATCTGGGCCAGGTTATTACTATCTAAACAAGCCAAACCATCAATCATCTCACTAAAAGATAAGTGAACATCGATAATATTCATTAAATTAAATGCAAGATCATCATTTTGAGGTATAAATTGTTAATTTGTGGAATATACTGAAGAAAAGTAGTCATTATTATATAAAAAAATTCACTATAGTTATCATTAAACATCAACAAGCGTTACATTTTTTTCATAACATATTTCATGATATAAAATAAAATTTCAATTGTTTTATATTTCAAGCCAAGGTACTTATAAATGTATGTACCTACCTATCTTTATAAATAATAATCTCATATAAAAATGCAGTTATTGCTATAACATATTCAACAACACTTGTAAACACGCTTATGACAAAGTTATAACAAATTATTCTGATTCGATCATAATTACACAAAATCCCCGATTCTACCTATTTCTTGTGAAAAACTGGTAAACTAATTGAAAATTAGTTTTGGAAATTAAAAATAAATAAATCCAAATTGATCCATACAATATTCACCCTTAGACTCTCTTTTCACCCAAATGCATTTATTTATAGCAACTAAATTCTAGATGCACTGAATGCTAACTATATCGGTCTAACGCTAAAGAGTAGATTAATATGGACTCAGTATGCTCAAATCTAAAAGATTACATTTAAACCTACGTCTACTCTTACTAAAAAATCTCATCTACAATAATATACACATATTAATGCTTAACTTTCTTATAAATAAATCTTTACTAAATTCGTATCGGACTTATAGTCTTTATACCTGGAGAAATGCTAAAAAATCTAATTTAAACAAAATCCAAACTTTTCAAAATATTGTTTTACATAAATTAATAAATGTACCTCATCAAATCCCTAACTATATTATTTATTCTGAGCTAAAAATTCCAAGAATACACTAAAAATTTAAATTATTTTATTAAAGTTTCTATAACTGTGTACTTTCTCATCCTAATCCTCTTGTAAGAAACCTTATAGCTTCTAAAGTTCTTGATAACTCCCCTAGAGGGTTAAAATTAAAATGGCGTCGGGATCTGCTCAACACTTCATTTTAAAACAAATGTAGTATTCATTTATTATAGAAGAAAAAAAAATAACAATTCATTTTCAAATTGAGTATCACTAATAGGTGATTACTTATCATAAACTACACAAAATATTATGTATAATTATTGTAAGCTTTTTGTATTTTAATAATTGTGGGTTCATAATATTTTACTTGTCCCACATGTTTTTATTTGTGCCTAAAGAAACAGATTGTAAATTTAACATAAAAAAAAATAATAAATAATTTTCACCCATAATTTTTGTTATCCATTCAATGTTTTTCGTTTTATTTTCAATTTATTTATTTCTCCTTTTATTGATTTTTTTCTACATTAGTTTCTGTTCTATAATTTTTAAGAAAACTTCTTCATCTTTAACAAACTATATCCAAGGAATTTCTTAGTTTTTTCCATTATCATATTTTATAAGTTTCAATCCTTTTTCTAACCACTTTAAATAGGTCTTAAATTGGGAGGAGACGCTAGAGAACTTAGTCTCTCTATCTCTCACAACGCTTATAAAGTGTCCCTTTTAAAATGTCTCCGAAAATGTTATTGAAACGGTCAATTGTTTGTTAAACATGATCATAGTTGATGTCATTAGGTGTTAAACAGTATTCTACAAATAAAACTAACTAATATTAAATATAAATTATAAATTATTTAGTAACATATACATCTATATATTATAGAAAAATGGATCTCTGTCTGTTTGTTTGTCCTTTATGCAATCCTAAATAGCTGGGCCAATTGCGACAAAATTTGGTACAGAGATACATTAGATATATGGACAAAAGATAGGCTAAGTTAAAAATTGATAGGCTCGACCCCGGGAGGTGCTCAAACAGACATTTTAAGATTTACGATGGAAATTTTTATTTTTAGATGGTTGCTATTAGTTTCAGGAGAGCACAGAAGATTTTTGATAAGGGAGTCGAAAATATATATTTTGAGGTACTAACCCACTCCCACCAGTAAAATCTGAGTTTTAGGTATAGTATAACTCTTATTTTTAAGTGTTTTTAGTTTTTTTTTACTAACAAAGATACTAAAAATAAAATGTTTTAAAATAAATCTAATCTAATCTATATATATAAAAATTTCGTGTCACGATGTATGTTCGCGATAATCTCCGAAACTACTGGACCGATTTTGATGAAATTTTTTACACCGAGTGTAATTTGGTCCAACTTAAAATATAGGATAGTTTTTTTTCAAATTTTTTAATATTTTAAATATTTTAATTAACTTTTTAATAAATGTGTATAACTGCATGGTGTATTTCGGTGTATTTCTATCACCGGAAACATCGATGAAAATTTAAACGCCAATGACATCGGAACTGCATGTATTTTACCTTCAAGCTACATCGGCAGTCCACGGAGCACGCAGGAATACATACAAGATGCGATGACTTATGTACGTCATTACGGTCGACCTGATTTGTTTGTTACATTTACGTGTAATCCAAATTGGGAAGAAATAAAAAGTTTGTTATTACCAGGCCAACAATCAATAAATCGTCACGATATCGTTACACGTGTGTTTAAACAAAAGTTAAAATCTTTAATTAATTTAATCGTAAAATATTCAGTTTTACACACAGCAACACACGTTGCTGGCTGTATTCATTTGAGTGGCAAAAGCGAGGTTTGCCTCATTCTCATATTTTGGTTTGGCTTGAAGTTAATCGCGCCGTCTCGAGTTTTGTTTGTTATTTTTATTTATACAGTTTAATTTGTACCGGTTTAGTGTTTTCGTATTTTACTTTACCTACACTCTAACCATAAATACTTGGTATTGTGTTATTATTGTGCAGTATTCAGTATTGAATATTCTTTAATTTTTTTTAAATTTAGTATAATGCCGTGGAAATCTAATCTACACAATCAGTATAGTAAAAATGCACGACGTATGCGTGCTAATAGAGCTCATGAATCGGAAGAACAAATTGCAGCAAGAAACGCAGCTCAACAAATCAGAACAGCAGAAATTCGCAGACAAGAGTCTCGAGAACAGCGTGATGAACGTCTACGACAAAATATATTGAGAACAAGATCGGCGCGAGAACGGCACATAGCCACATTTAGAGAACTTGACAGAGAGCGACAACAAACCAACCGTGCATTAACACGTGCATCATTCGTTCGCCTTGCGTTCGAATATGCACCAGATATCAATTACTCTGCACATACTAAAATTATAATTGGCGCAATGGATAAAATATGCCAATATTGTCAAGCGTTAAAATTCCGCAATGAAACGATTGGTATGTGTTGTGCATCTGGAAAAGTTGTACTGGCACCTCTCTTCCTATTCCACCGGAACCTTTAAAATCATTTCTTGCTGGCGAATCAGACGATTCGAAATTATTTTTACGTAAGACACGCAAATTCAATTCTTGCTTCCAAATGACGTCCTTTGGCGCAACTAAAATTTGCGACCTCACATCTGATGGAAATAATTTTGTAACTACGTTCAAAATCCAAGGCCAAGTGTACCACAAGATTGGGTCATTAATGCCAATGCCTAATGATGATCCAAAGTTTCTCCAAATTTATTTTATGGGCAGTTGTGAGGAACGCGTAACAACTCGGTGCCTGCATAATTTCATCGAACAAGCAGAAGAGAGAGCAATTGTGGAATCTTTGGAAAACTTTTTTTGAAAATTATAATCAACTTATCCAATTATTTAAAAGAGTATCGCCTCAATTAAGAAATGATAATTATCAAATTGTCATCAAAGCCGACAAAGTACCTGCAGGAGAACACGCTGGAAGGTTCAACGCGCCAACCGTAGATGAAGTTGCTGTTATTATGGTTGGTGATCCAGTTAACAACAGAGACCTCAAAATCATACGTCGAGACAGCACTGTTCATATAATTTCAGACCTTCATCGTTCGTATTTCCGATTTGTTTAGCTTTTGCGATGACTATAAATAAATCTCAAGGCCAAACAATGTCTATTTACGGTTTGGATTTGGAAAACACATGTTTCTCACATGGACAGCTATATGTTGCCTGCTCACGTGTAGGAAAACCATCAAATCTCTTCGTGTTAGCGAAAGACAGGTTAACCAGGAATGTTGTACACAAAGTAGTACTTAGATAATTTTTAGTTTTAATAATTTAATTTATTTTTGTATGTTTTTAATGTATATAGTATTTTCTGTAAGTAGGTCACTGATTACAAACAATAATTTAATATAAGATGAATAAAATGTAAATTCAGAAAATATATATTTTGGTTTGTACTTAATTTCAACTTTTAGATACTTTACCTATTACTTTTAAATTTTCTCATACATAATAACACTAATACATGGCCTACGAAAATGCTAAAAAACCAACTAATACGCGGGCAACGCCGTGTCGGGACAGCTAGTATTAATTATTTTTCAATTTTCTGGGTATTAATTTATAAGTTTGTATAGCATAATTTTTGGGATTGAACCTTACTACTTATTCTTATGTGACGCTTTAGTTCTAGGGTAAACATAATTAGTATGTTGATTTGGATAGCTGAAAAATTGGTTAGTATTAAATTAAACAAATATTCATACAAGTTCACACAGAACTAGTCATCCACCAATTATCTGAGGGGTGCCAGTCGACAACCCTGACCCTCCTGTGTGCACCACTGATTAGTTTTAATAATAATATTAATTAGTGCGAAAAAAATTATTATCCGTGAATTTGTTATTATTATTTTTTATTATTTGTTTCCATGGCATCAAAAATGCATTAATGTCACCGTACGTTCTAACATTAAAATTTGGCGTGTCCATCATTTTTCTACGAAATATCAATCCACTGCAATACTGCAACGGTACCAGGCTTTCAGTAAAAAATTTGATGAACAACATTATCGAAGCTACAATTTTAAACGGAAAGTTTAAAGGCGATGATTTACTATTACCTTGCATCTCAATGATTCCAACAGATATGCCTATCGAATTCAAACTTTGCAGTTTCCGGTACGACTCGACTTTACAATGGCCATCAACAAAGCACAACGACAATTGCTACATGTGTGTGAATAGAATTTGGAAAATCCATGCTTCTTACATGGACAGATGGTCATCGTGGCATGGTCACGCGTTGGAAAACCTTCTGCTTTATTTGTGTACGCACCAAAAGGAAAAACAAAAAATATTGTATTCCGAATGCACTTCAAAAAATTTAATTCAATTGAATACTTGAATTTTCAGACTTTTCTCGATAAAACTAATAAAATTACATAATGACAAACTAAATTGAATATCATTTTTACGTAGAATATTTTACGAATGGATCTTCACAGGAAAAAATTGTTTGTGTCCGTATATAATATTGCCTACAATTAGCCTATTTTTTGCAGCTGTCAAAATGTGATAACAATGATAAAACGATAACATCTTTTTTATTATAATAATTTTATGTATTGATAAATTTAAATTTAAATCGTTAAATAGGTACATCAATAGTTAAATAAATGTAATAATACACAATTCGAAAAAAAACACAATATTTATTTACGGTCGTCATTTAAAAGGTACAATTCAAAAGTAATAAAAAATATAATATTTTTATTACTCTCATATTTCTCCATACCTCTAAGTTCAAAGTATCATATTTTAATTTTTATTAAACGAGGACAATGAATTAATTGTAAGATACAGCAATACTCACTTATGGCACCAAAAAGAAATTGATAAATTAAGGTTTACTACAGCTGATAGAACAAAATTGGCAGGTAGCTTATTTTATTTTATATGTATAATACTATACTACCATCTATATTGGTTCCTATACAAAGGGTATTAAATGATGTGCAAGATTCTGTGGAAGGAATAACATTGAAATGTTTATAGTATGAGTATATTATGGGCCAAATAGTTAGTAAAATATATTAATAATCCAATTTTGTATTTTAAATATTTTGCCACAAATTTAGGAAAAGATGATTTTTGTACTTGAAAATGATTAAATCTGTGTTTATGAGACCCATGGTTTAAACTTTTAACAGTTAGCTACGCTTTTATAAAAAAAATACAAAATATTTATTAAATCTAATTATAACATTTGTATTATATTTTTGCTTGAAATATTCACAATGAATTGTGTATTTTTAAATATTAAATTACGATATTATGTTTTTTTTTGAACTGTGTATTATTAAATTTATTTAACTATTATAGCAATATATAAAACTATTATAATAAAAATGATGTTATCGTTTTCTCAATGTTATCACATTTTGATAGCTGCAAAAAAGGGACTAAATATAGGCAATATTATATACGGTCACAAACAATTTTTTCTTGCGAAGATCCATTCGTAATATTTTGATTGTTATCTATAGTGTCATTATGTATAAATTATGTATGTACTGCTAGCATAATCACAAATAACGAATTTAACACACAGTTTGAGACATATTAAAGGTAAAATTTTTAACGAACTAATTAGTGCATGGGTTCAGCTAGTATATTTATATACGCTTTTTAATTTTTTTTATTTCATTAATAGATATTTACAATATATTATTTGAAATAATAAGTAATTTTCAAATTTATACATTTATATAGCACATATTGAGGAAATAATTTTCTAACAACCAGTGGCATAGCGAATTCAAGAGGCAAGTACATTTTGTCGACACCCACCACAAGGCCGTATCTGGGGAGGGGTCCAGGGTGTCTGGACCCTCCGAAATTTCTTCAATATGCAGTAATATGCAGTAATTAAATAAGTACCTAATACATTTAGTTATTATTAGGTCGAAAAAACAATAATTCATAACTCAAAAGTATAATAATTGAAAAGTAAATAATGTATTCAATTCTTTAATATTTTTTTCACTATCGATATTGTTAATATTTGATATCACAATCAGTGACAATAAGATTATTGGTTTTAAGAAATATAAGGAAGGCATCTCTTGAGCACTGGTCCTAATTTTAAAATATACTGCTTTTGTTCATATCAGAAAATCTTAAAGAATAATTTTCATTCAAATTCTCATATAAGCCTGTTATAAATATAGTTTGAAATACACACAGTAAGTACTGAGTACACACATAATACATTGACATTTAAAAAACTCAACTACTTGCTATCTATAGTGATAGTTCAAATACAAAATATGTCAGTTTGATTATAAACACAAAATCAATTCACTAACCGTAATTAATCGTTGGAGATGGCTTTGGCGTTTCGCTTTTTTCATCCATCAATATATTTTTAACATTGCTTTTATTGTTATCAAAACTGTCCAATTCTACTAGTTTATCTGAAGGAATAATTTGTATATTTATTATTAAATAAGCTACCTATATAATTAGTATAATATAATAACCTGAATCAAAATGATTTGTGTTCAATTCAGATGAAGTAACATACATTGACATTAGGACTGGATATAGCTTTAGCTGAATTTTGATACAACGATTCAAGTTTATCAAATATAAAATATGAATTTCACATGATTATACTGAGACAGACTGTGTGAATATAGTGAAACAGTATACTAATATTAAAGTCAAAATAAATATATTAAAAGAGCAAGATAAAAACACCGGTGAACACCAAAAATAAAAATAAAAACTTAAATAAAGTGTACATACTGGATATTTTAACTGCACTCGAAGACTGTGAAGAGGCCGTAGAGAGGTGCGTTACCCCAGCACCCGCACTTTCGAAAACATGAATTGTAATCAAGCATTATTATTTACTTTATTTTGTACAATTTTGTACAACCAAAATTAAATTTTGTACAACCCCCGAACCTCCCCGAAATTCAATTTCATTTTACGGGTGCTGGGGTAACGTTACACCAGCACCCGGATCAACTAATTTTCTCAAATTTCAACTTTAAACCGTACAGTATTATGTACTTTATTTTATACAATTTTGTACAACCAAAATTAAATTTTGTACAATGTAGAATTGACCATCATTATATAATTTTGTTGAACAGCTTAAATAATTTAAAATAAATATTATTTTATTTGTATAAAAGTATTTAGAAATTTTTTTTTTTAGTTAGGTAACTAAAGTGTATTTACAGATAGAAATTTTATTTATTTAAAAAAAATAATTATCCAAATTAACTTTTTGTCTTTTATTTTTTTTTCGACATGATTCCACATGTCTTGTTCAATTAGTGTCATTCTCATAATTTCGATCACGTCGACAAAACTCACACGTCAAACTCATAATTAATAAATTAATATATTTATGTATTATTTTTATTATTATTATTATTATTAGAAAAATAACGCAAAATCACATACAAAATAACGAAAAATAACAGACATAAAAAATTTTAATCAAGAACATAAGTAAAGTAAATATACTTTTCAAGTCTTAACCATACTAGTATTCAAGGCTCCAAGTGTCCAAATCTCCAAATTATTTTTGTCTCGTTAATCGTTTCATTATGTTTATTACAAAATGGTTTCTACCATAGAGTATGGACTGCGATATTAAATATTAATATAATATTATACTCATTAATCCGTATTATTATTATTATAGGCCATGGATTAGATTCCGATTTATTTTTTTAAAAATAGCCGCTGCTGCAATAATTATTGCCCAACGACAGAACGCCCTGCCCCACCATGCATTATGATATTGTGGGTGTGCGTCGGTGTCGGATCCTTATCATTTTTCTGACAACTGCACCAAGTGCATTATAGCCCCAACCCTGCTAATTGCATTAACTGAGTGTTGCTTCCTTATTGTCTACTCTCTGGATACTATTAGTAACTGTAACTTAGTATTTAATATTTACAAATTACAGCCTTATTTATTTTAAAATAAAAACTCACGAACCACCCACCCACCACCCGCTAAGAAAGTTTTGGGGTATTTACCACATTTGTCATACGCACCACTGATCACAATACGATATCGATATACATGAAAATATATTGATACTTTAAATTTTATAATAATATATTTTTGCACTATTATTACATTTTATTCCTCCAATATCTAAGTTTGCCCAACTACTTTTTAATCTTTACTTCTTTTGTTTACTATCTTTTTCTATTATCGTAGTATTTTCATTGTTTAATGGATGATTCTTTTATTTTTAATATCAATAAATAATATCAGAATACTAAATAATTTTTCCCAATTGACGTTATCGAATGCTTTTTTCGAGTCAACAAATGCTTGATTCGTACATTGACTAGAGCCCAACTTAAGAAATATGGGCCCGGGGCAATATAATCTTAGGGCCCTTTAATATTTGTTTAATGTAATTTAAAAATTACAGTCAACATTAAAATAACATTATTGCATTAGTGAACAAAAGTTTTATTTACAGACCAAAAATTAATTGTTCATACTCGTATTATATTTAAAAATAATTATTAAGTACCGGTAAAAATGAAAAATATTAATTATTTATTAATGTTTATTAAATTACATAAATAAAAATTTAAGTCAATGGTTTCTTTTGAGATTTTAGTTCACTAAACTCCTGAATTAGATCTGAAAAATCCAATGTGTCAGTTATTTCCCTTTCAGCAGATAGACGAACGAGTGAGTTAAATTTTTTTTGAATAAACGTTCTTCTGGCGTTTTCAATAAGTTCTAATTTTGAATTTGTTCTTTTTGCTTCACGATTCGAAATTGGCAAAGTTAAATAAATTCGTAGAGAAATGCACATATTTGGAAAGATTTTTTTAAAATTATTTTCATGTACATATAAGTATATATTTTGAGGAGTAATTATTGGTAAATTTAACTGTATTACATAATTTGAAAAGTGCACAATCTCTTGTTTTATATTAGTTATATCAATATCATCTTTAAAGGTCGATTCACACATAACAATGACGTGACGTGACGTGACGTGATATTAGTGAGCTTCAGTGAAAAAAAAAATATTATAGACCGTGATAGACCGTGCGTGTTCAGACGCGTCCGACGCAGTGAAGCTCTGGCGTTCACAGTGCTCGTCAGGCATCCGTGATAAAAAATAAAAATACGTCGTCGCCGATATTTTTTGTTTTTCACGGACATCCGTGACCAGTGTATTTTTGTTTTATTTTTGTTAGTTGTTTTTATGTAAAATATTTATGTCATGAACGACGAACTTTTGATTGAGTTGGTGCGGAACAGACAAGTTCTTTATGATTTGAAGGACCCGAAGTATTTAAATTCCGATTTGAAGGGAAGAATATGGCAGGAAATTGGCGAAAAAATGAAGATTGATGGTGAGTATTTAAAATAACAGTAATCTATATATATATATATATATATATATAAAATCCAAATGCCACTTCAATGACTCCAGTCACCAATCGCTGTAACTCAAAAACTACGCAACGTACGAACTTGAAATTTGGAATAGAGGTTCATGAGTATTTGTATTCGTTATTTATTTATATTAAAACTTTATATATATTATAACTATTAGTTGAAACATGTGTATCAGTATATTATATAATGGTGTGAAATAATAATTTAAGTTGGAAATAAATTAATAATTGGAAACAAAACTAGTAATTGCCGCAGTATAAAATATATTATTATAAATAAAAGAAGCAATCGACCGTTGTCGGGTCATTCCGCGTATACTCGTATACTTGCACACAAATAGTTATAAATATAATAATTAATTAAATGTGGGATATGCCCAGTTGTCGGTGCGATAAGCACGCGACGATAACAGAACAGCGTCCCACAGCTATACATAGAAAAAATAAAAACAGAATAGTTTAATGTATATTTATTTATTTTATATATTTATTATTATTTATAATCGTAATAATAATAATTGGCTAGGTATGGTAATCAAAGCATTGTTACATTTTAATAGTTAATTAAAATTTGATTTTGCCATGAAACTGATCCAGTTTCCGAAGAAAAATAATCTTTGAATGCATCTCTAACTTGAAAAGCTTCTCTGGTAGCGTTTCCACCTCGATGGGACAAGTTCCATATTGCTGAGTTTACTTGATTGTTATCGTTACCAATTGCATCTCCTCTGATGGCAGGTGCAGCATCATATTTTCGTATGAAATTATACAAAACGCAGCTGGCCAGTATTATGTTGTCTACATTATCTGGTAATGATTGTATCCGTCTGTTGTACAATTTGAATTTTTGACATAGGATTCAGAAACCATTTTCCGAAACCCTTCTTGCATGACTGAGATGATAATTAAACAATCTTTTTGAATCGTCTAGTTCCTGACTGGGGTAAGGGCGCATAATGTATGTCTTTAATGGAAATGCCTCATCACCAACAATTACGTGAGGAAGTTCAGTGTTTGTGCCCGGAAGTGATGAGGGTCCAGGTACCGATAAATTACACGATTCAAATGCTTTACCAATGTTAGAATGTGTCCAAATACCTCCATCACTGTTTCGACCATATGCCCCTAAATCTACTGCAATAAAGTTATAATTTGCATCAAACATGGCTAGCAACACAACAGAAAAAAATTTCTTGTAATTGAAGAATTGAGAACCACTGTTTGGTGGAGCCTGTATGCGGAAATGTTTTCCATCAACAGCTGCTATACAATTTGGGAAATTCCAAATATCTCTAAACTCCTGCGCGTATCTTTTCCAATCTTTTTCTAATGGAACGGGCATCACTTCATTCATCAAAGCTTTAATAATTGCACTACATATTTCGGTTACTATTGAATGTACAGTGGAGTGACCAATCCGGTAGCTGAATTATATTGTTTTAAATGAATCACCTGTTACCAGATATCTAAAATAAAAATATATTTGTAAGACAGTTACATACTAATATATATAATTTATATTATATTATATTATATATTAATATATATATAATATTTATATAATTTTTAATATTTAATAATAATATTTAAATTTAAATAAGGTGTAACTAGCTCTGCTGATTATAATTATAATAATTTTATATTTTTGTCTGCACAGGTGGAATAACATACGAGATAACGTCAGAAAGTCTTTGATTAAAAGAAGAACCACAAGTGGACAAGCTGTTAAAAAAGTGAAACCGTACAGATTTGAAAGCCAGCTAGTTTTTGTTTGAATACATGGAAGAACGCGAAACAAAGGGGAACATTGAAAGGCCTCCTGATACTGAATATGCAGATCTTGATAATGATGATGAAGGACAAGAATCTCTGCAAACAACTGATATCCCTAATTCTCCAGAAGTATCCAAGCAACCAGTCAGCCAATCATTCGCCCAACATAATCCTACTTCTAACAACGATACACTTTCTCCAGAAATATCCAAGCAACCAGTCAGCCAATCATTCACCCAACATAATCTTTCTTCTAGGAACGATACACCTTCTTCCTCTGCTGTAACGTTTGCTAAGTCTAGTAGGAAAAAAATATTCAACCTGAGACAGCAGCATCTACACTCATGAAGTATTTAATTGAAAAAAAGGAAGAAGAGACAAAATCAAGCAAAAGTGGACTACCCACCGTAACTTTGGACAACCCTATCGACTGTTTCCTTTTTGGGATATCACATACTTTAAAATCACTACCTCCATACTTGCAGAATATAGCAAAGACCGAGATTTTTTTTACGGTGCAAAAGTTGGAGCTGCAAACGATGCAAAATTACACTTCTCGACATCCAAATCAGCTGGAAACTATTGACGAAACTTCCTCTTCCCAAGATACAGCAAAAGAATATTGGGAAATTTCATATATAATTAATTATAAATTATATATAAATTTGTATTAATAAATATAATATTAATTTAATTTTTGATTACATGAATATATTATTAAAAATTTTAAGTAGTTAATACCTAATGATGAATAAATTGATTACCTTGGCAATGACAGTTAAAAAATATTAAGAACACAGTCAAGTTTTTTTTTAATAAGCAATGTAAGTTTAAATTTTGACAAAATACGTAAAAATCACGATAATTTACAAATTATTTTGAGTTTAACTTAAATTAGTGTTGCTAAATACCAGAGTGGCCGAGTTGCACTTACTACGGCGAGTACCTATATCCAAAAGTACTTGGTCAATCACAAATTTTTTTAAGAATTATCCTTTTTACGGGCAACGAAATGCTCGTGATCAGCTAGTTATTTATAAATCACAAAAACATATCTCAAACAAACCGCCAGTTTTTCTCTTGCAGAAATAACCTGTCTCCAGCATGTGTCTTTTTTTTTTCTATACTTCTCCACTTTTGTTAGTAAATCACAATAGGCATTTTGGCTCATTCTAAAATATTCATAAAATTTGAATTCGTGGTTCACCAATTCTCTATACAATGTTGCAAATTCTCCATCGGTGTCTCGAAACTTCCATATAGGATGAATCCAGTGTTTTCTTTTTTCCTTCTTTTCGTCCTGGTCCAAAAGCAATGCTATTATACTAAGCTCTTCTATACTAAAATTCATAGTGCACTTAAAAAATGAATTAATTAAATAAATAATCACTAAAAACTAAATTAACTTAAAAATTAAATTCTGAATAACAACTAGATAGTAGACATCACTGATCACGAGGGAGCATTGATATAAAAAGGTACTGTATTGTGAGGATGGAAGTGAAAAATTCATCACGGATAGCACTGACCACGGTAGGTTACGGTCACGTCACGTCACGTCACTGTTATGTGTGAATCGACCTTAAATGTGCTAATAAATATATCAGCAGAAGTCTCTTATAATAATTCTGAACCAAATTTTGTAATAAACCCAAAAATATTACAAATATTATTATATACGTTTAATCTTTTATCAGGTTCAATAACTAAACGATCAATAATAACGTAAAAAGTATCAATCTCTAACTTTCATATACCACAAAAGTTTGAATATCCTTCTATTGTACCATCCGAGAATTTTTTTTCTTACACTTTTTTCAACATAGGGCAGAATATTTGTTGATAATAACCTTTCTTTGTTTTCAAAATATATAAAAATTCTCTCTTAATGAATTAACATAAGTTTTTAATCATTTCAATAAATTTACGGCTGTAAATAAATCTATTCCTGGTTTTTAAAGGTATTTACTAACACTGTTAAACTACCATAAATTTTCACTCCACATAACTGCCATAAAAGTTGATTTAAATTTTATAATTTTATTTTTTATTGATTTAGCTCCATGACTATTTTCTTGTTTTTCATTACAATTTTCAAAAATATCTGTTAATATACATATTATTTGGTCATAATTTAAGATAATAGCTAATAACAAGACTCTGCGTGATACTCCCACCTAGTATTACTTAAAGTTTACAAAACGATTATTTTATTTTTGTCTTCTGATTTTAGACCAGTCAAAAGCAAATTCCATCTATGCGTTGAGGTCGCAAAAAATGCATACAATTTTTGAACAACACCAAAAAAATTGATTGCTTCTAAACAACTTTTCACTGCATGTGACTCTACTAAATTTAGGGAATGAGCAAAATAAGGTGCAAATAAAGCAACACTTTTTTTTTTTTTTTTATTTGAGCCTGTAAACCCTCATATAAATCAGTCATATTATTAGCATTGTCGTATGATTGACTTCTACAATATTGCAAATTAATATTATTATTTTCCAAAAAATGTATTACTTCTTTGGCCATTGAAATACCAGTATGGCTTAATATATGAATGTATGTTAAGAATCGCTTAACAACTAACTCTTTATAAAAGTATCTAATAACAACAGCAAATTGATCTCTATGTGTTCTATCTGGAGTAGAATCTAAAATTAGACCGAAGTATTTAATTTCTTACAACTATTTAGTTATTTCTAAATAAAACTTCATTTGCCATTAGGTCAATTATTTCGTTACAAATTCGCATCAAAAAATAAGTTACATTGCCTGATCCTTTATTAGCGCGTTCATTCATACGTTGTTTTAAAAAGGGATCAAATTCGAAAATAACTTCAAGAATTCCAAGAAAATTTCCATTACTCGGAGAACCCAACTGCGAGTCATTACTCTTAAATGCTAACCCACGAACAGCCAAAAATTTAAGTACACGGTGCAACACTTAAACTTAATACTTATTGTCATTCAATATTTTTTAGGCCATAGTTTTGTCAATACGATGTTTAGTGTTTACATGATCTAACCAAGTTAACATTGATTCACGATGGTTTGCAATATTTTCATGTTCTTTAACTTTTTCGTAAGATTTTTTTCAATTGTTAAAACCAGGATTAAAAAAACTTTAATTATTTGATTTATTAAATAGTTTACAAACAAAATAGTAAACTTTGCCAGTGTGTTCAGAAAACATAAGCCATTTACGTGAGTGTATTTCACCATTAGGCAATTTTAATTCGAATAATGAAATATTTAATGAGCGATTATAATTTTTAAATTTTTTTTCGGAAGAATGAAATTTTTTTTGATCCATATTCTGAAAAATGCTGGTCCTTTTAAGCAGCATAATTCTATAAAAGTGTTGTTTAACACTAAAGGCCACATTCCCGGATCTTGATATGATTCAATATCAATTTCAAAGTTTTGAACATCCGAATTAAAATTAGTAGCGATCACTGCATTTTCTACTACAGAACAATTGTCAGATTCATTTTCAGAAAAATTTAAAGCATCATAATTTGAAGTGATTATTGTATTAAACATATTATTACTATCGTTATTTATGTTTTCAACATCAAGATAACTATTATTTAAAACCAAATCATCTTTATTATTTGTATTAGCTTCTACTTCTACTTCGTTTAGACTATTGACAGTTTTAAAGAAATTTGTTAATTTAGGTAATTTGCTTACTGCATCTTCAGCCACCTTCTTTAATTTTCGTTTTACATAACCACTGAGATAAATCCTTTTTTTGTCTGACATTTTCATATTTTAATAGTTTTTATTATATACTAATAACGAACAAAACTCACGAACTCTACTTAAAACCAATTTAAAATCACGAGTCACAACAGTCAACAGAATACTAACGTATTGATTGTATTAACGATGTAAAACTAACCAACAAACAACAGTCAACAGAATACTAACGTATCGATTGTATTAACGATGTAAAACTAACCAACAAAATGTATGTAATAGAAAATACCCTAACGATTTGGTAGAGGTAAACAGTACACTATATAGTGTATACCCGCGTTTAGATAAACTGAGCGTTCGCAAAAACCTGAGATATTTTTAAATAATGCGCGGCTTATAACTGTTGCGATTCGTGTTATCATACAAGTGTTTAAACTTGGCCTATAGGTATACACGTTAATGATTAGGTGACAGGATGGGTAAATATAAATGTTAAAGTGTTTTTGGCCAACTTTATCTCAACATTTAATAGCTTTATTTTATCGATTAGATAATAATTTTAAATTCCATTACGAAACATGACTAATTTGTTTTGTAATTGTTAAACGAAAGAAATATCTTAAAATTTTACAATACCACTTAAATATTTAATTGTCAACAGAGGTCTGGGGCCCCAAATAATACCGGGGCCCGGGGCTGTAGCCCCCCTAGCACCCCTCTAAGTTGGGCTCTGACATTGATTTTTTTATTATCATCCATAGAAACAGTACAACCTCCTGGTTTTTTATTTTTCTTAGAATTAAATTGATCTTTCTCCTACAAGATGTCATTCATTGTTGCTTTTGTTATTTTTTAAATTATCTTTCTTATAATTTTTGATGCTTGAGTTATAAGAATTGTTGTTTTGTTATTTTAAATACGATGATTCATTATTGTTTTCAAACTTTCACATGTAATAAGAGTTTTAAAATTACAACTGTAGCACATATTTCTATTTTGTTTAACAAAAGTTCTATTTATGTTTCTTATATTATTAACATCAAAGTACACTGATTAGTGACCTAAAACAAATATTCCATCTCAATAGTTCATTCTACTTTTATATCACATTGGAAAGCACAAAATAGTATTGGTAGAAGTATTTATAGTAGTATTGTATTGTTATAGTTGTTTATATTAAATTTAACCAAATTATGAAACCAAAAATTAAATAGTTACACTTATTGGTGCTGAATGTTCCATTTACAATATAATTAATCCATTTTCGATATTTAAAGACAAATATATGTCTAGTTTGAACACGATTATCTCCACATTTTACTGTCAAGTTGCTTATCTCTGGGTAGTAGTTGTAGCCGTGACTGGTAATGCCAAATAGGAATCCTTGGCATATTAAAGGACCTCCACTATCTCCATTGCATACCATGTGATCATCCGGTACAGAACACAAAAATAATTCCCACGTTTCCTCGACTGTATTCTTTATGAAATGGCTATTAAAAGAATTTCTTGATATTATTAAAATGGAATGCATTTTTATTTTGTACAAAATACATACTTATCAGGTGGAACTTTACAAGCATCAGGTCCATATTTTACATAAACTGAAGCTATATTTACTTTATACCTTGGGTTTTGATCAAATTGATTTTTACCCCAACCTAATATGCTGCATTGTAGTTTGTATTCATTTGCAAAAATTTTAGGTTGTTCAGAAATTTTCGCGTAACTTGTTACTTGTTCAAATGGTTTGTTTAACTTTAAGTAAAAACACAACTAATTACAATTTAATTTAAAGTTTAGTAGAAATTATAAAAAATACATTTAACTTATTTACTTACCTTTAATATACATAAATCACCAACCATACTTGTTTCATTGAATAAAGGATGTAGAAAAAAATTAACAACAGTTCG